TACAGTATATAGTTGGGCATATATATAGTTGTTGAAAATCAAAAATTATAAAATAAAAAGAATATTCACCCCACAAATCCCTCAACAGGATTTATTTTATTGTCGCTCTTGACATAGCTATTTATTGACTAGAATACGACTGGAAAGTTTGGTTATTCAATAATAATACTCTCCTCAAAATATAACAGAAAATAATAACCATGGTGACTTAGTTCTCTATTTGTACTTTAAAGAGCCTGTGTAGCTCTACCCTATCATAAAACCCTGTGAAAAACAATAAGTTTATGTGTATGCTTTGTTCAGAGACAAGGTATAGATTCAGTTCAGGCTGAAAATATATAGATATATAAAAATAGCAAAGCAGTACAAAATGTATATATATATATATTAATTGGGGGCAACACTAGCTCTGTTAAAAATAAAAAAAATCACTCCACCTCCCATGACTTAAAATTATTCTTTCTCAAGCTCCATACCTTTTGTGGGCATGAATTTTTTTTTTTGGTTTTCTATAAAAATTGAGTTGACTGCTAACTAGCTTTTAATTAATCCATACAGGAAAGCCTCACTTTCAAACCCCAAACATACAGCGCCCTCAACATGTATTGTTACTGAAAATGTCTTACATAGAAATATTATAATATTAAATTTAGATATAAATTATGGAATGGCTGATGTAAAAACAAAATGCATTTTTTAAAATACAGCAGTAAAAAACAATTGATATATGCATTACATCTATAAAGAATTGATTAATTAATGCCCTTATTAATTGAAAGTTAATCAGGTAATTCACTCAAAATGCCTGCATTTTGATACAAATATATTTATTTATGTTAGCTGGATTTTTTTTTCAGGAAAAAAACATTTGATGTGTATTTAATTGTGACATGCATTACATGTACAAATAGGGGGAAATGTTTTGTCAATGAATTTAGTTTTTCATTGAAGAACTGTTCCAATGACAAGTATTAATACTGCACAAAAGTGTTGATTTAATTAAAAAAAGCAAGCAGCAGAAACAATGCTGTGATCCACTCTACTAATGCCTAGCTACAGTTCTAGTAATATCTTGCTATGTAGCCTAGAATCTACATTGCACTCCACTCACAACATGCCTAGGTACAATAATATAAGGTTATTACAATAGTACAAAAAAGTATGCACAAAAACAGTTTGGTAAGGTTATCAACCAAAGTTTTGCAGTCAATGTAACTGTGTACTGCCTGAGTGCATACTTTTGTGGTATCCTCAAGATAACCTGTACATCTTCTTGATCCAATCGCTTTGTGTGGGAGGACCAGAACTGAGTAAATAACAATTTCAACCATGGTCAGCCATTGACTATGAATTTGATGGAAACTGCCCATGATTATAGAGTCAATGTGAAGCTACTTAAAAGCTTGTACCTGTACCCAACCCAAACACCTCACAGTCAAACCAATCAGAGAGCAGCTTGTTGTTAAATTCTGCCATGCATATAAGCTTCAACTAAACTGTAATTATGGGGAAATCCCTGTCTGGAGCATTTAAACTGGCCAATAAATTTGTTATTTCCCTGAGACGGTTTTTTTATAGTGTGAATGAAGTTTGCATAAATCTGGGAAATCAGGGAAATGAGATTTTATTGTCGTCGTTCCGAGCATAGAATCCTTTGCTAACCAAAATGTTATTAGCTTATTATTAAATTATGATAAAATGGAAGCACAGATGTTTATTAATCCATCAGAAATATGAAAGCCCTGAAAGAGATATGATAAAACCCAATAAATGTTCATATAAATTCATAAATTGTTATACAAATCAAGATTTTCATCATACAAGTTAAAAACATAGCACAACTCATGTAAGCTTTCCCATATTTTAAAACAAATAGTATTTTCATGATGCACATAGAAAAAAGATGTTTTAATTTGTCTATTAATCACACATAGGAATATTGTTTTCAATATATAAATATTAAATTTCCATGATTTTGTATGTAAATATTATTTATTATTATTATTATGCCACCTCAGGCAAGATATGCATCAATTTGGTTGAAACGATGAT